CTGTTGTAAAGTTTCAAGTCCCAGTGCTACTTTTATCTTCCTATATAAATACAACCAGTAAAGCTACAGTCTCGTCAGAGACTTCTGGTTCAGTTAAAGGTCTTCCAAAACATTTATGTCGATATATGCTTCCACAAAATTATTTTATTTGTGTGTTTAATGGTCAAACAAATTAGTCACTTAAGTTTGACAGCCAGGCTATATCGACTTTTTTGAAAATCAAGTTATATAGTTGGTTGATTGAAAATTTCTTCTCCTCGAGAAGAGACTAAAGAGGAGTAACTTTTGGAACTTCCTGTCCAAATACGACTCGAACGATTTTGTCCAAAATGTGCATACACATAGTGGATATAGTCATGTCATGTATAAAATATACAAAAATAACGAAAAATTAAACGACAGGAATTTTTGGGGGGTGGGTGTGTTGAACATCCTTAAGAATAAAGTTTACTTTATGAAAGTGCAAGGATATGTGTCAATTAAACGCGTCCTGAAACTTGTAGTTTTTATGATTTCCAGATAAAAGAACTTTCTGATCATGTTTTTATTATATTTTCGTGTGAAATGATCTAGCAGCAATTATAAGTCATGACATAATACAGAAAATTTGAAAAAATATTAACTCAAATCAGTGTCCAAGCCCCTTTAACTTGTTGTTGTTTATTATTAAAACCGCCTTACAATTATGTCTCTGATATTTACAGCACTGGCAACATTTTGTGTACAGTATGGCTATTGAAATAAATGGGGACTTCTCCTGCCACTGGTGTTGGGACTTTTTTTTCAATGGCTCTGTTGTGCAGATGATAACAACATTCAATGATCCTGACGCATTTTGTAGGGGTGGACGCCAAAGCTGCTACTGTTTTGTGCAGACATCTGATATAAAATTACACTCATGTCATAATTATGGATAAAATAGCAACTGTGAATAATTGTAATGATATATTTTTACAGTTTGCTTAATTTACGCAAAAAGTATTTTCTCTTTTCTTATGCTAGCATTTCTTCTTTTTTTCATGTCTTCTTTTATTTTTTTTTATCTGATTGTTTTATGTTTCTGATAATTTTCATACCTGTATTTTATATAAAATTTGTCAAACTAAACTAAATCATCTATATTTACTTGCCGAAATCTGGACTTAAGAACTCCAAAAGGCCTCTCGATCGACATAATTCCTTGTGTTGATATGACTCTAATTAACTTCCGCTGTCTTGTCTTAGGCGCCAGTATGGGAGTCTTCAGTCATGGTCGGAGAGGGTATCCACTATCTCCCAGAAACCAGCCCCACCTGGTAGCTGCTCCATGATCTCTGGTATGTTACTGTTTGCAAGTAAGTAGGCATCATGCTCCTCCATACTTGCAAACTATATTTGTGAATCTGAAATCCATTTATTTTGATTTATTATCATTATGCAATTCAAATATGGAAATGGTGTTTAAGTTCAGAGTAATTTTATTAAAAAAAAAAAAAAACTTCTTTGATCCGGAGAATCTCAGCTTGTTCAGAGGGGAAGGTGATGTTCTTTAGACTGATATATAGGGCATCTACAACATCCATGTTCATTCTACTGAAAAATGGCTGTGAAATCCCATGGATATCTGCTGCCTCAGACTGAAAATCTCCTTTTGCAAGGACTTTCGAAGTTTAATAACAATACCTATGAAAATTTAATTGTATTTTCTTTGAGGTGATATGTTGTTTTGTTTGGATTATTCAATGTGAAAAAATATACATTGATGCGTTTTTTATGTTTTGTTGTATCATTCTACATATGGTGACATGCATATCTGGGCCTTTTTTCGCAAAAAAATCTTATGACGATAATTAATATTGATAAGTTTGTAAATTTTTGTTTAAAAAATATTTTTTGCTCTAAAAATATTTACAATGTAATCTAATAAAATAAATATTATAATTTTTAGTTACCCACTACATTATACATACATGTACTTATTGGGGAATGGGAAATTTTTTGTCTTAAGACTTTTTTTATGAAAAAGGTCCACCGTCACTAAAGGACATTACATGTAAGCAAGGTATATTGCAAGAGTTTATGACCCCATTCTGCACATATTTTTAAAGAAAGAGCAGCCTAATGCAGTTCAGAGCTCTTAACTGAGAAATGTAAATCAGTAATGTCATCAAACGAACCTGTTGACTGTGAATATGAATGATCAGGTGAAAGTTTGCCGCCAGCAGCTGGTGTATCAATGGTATCAAATGACGGCAAATTCCTGTCAAAAATAAAAAATATAACAACTTCTTCGGGCTGATCATATTCTTTATCTGTCTTGCGTTGTTTTGTGGTAACTTGTGTCTCTTTTGTTCTGTTCACCATCTTCGACTTCTAGCGCGGCAACTGTCAAATCGTCTGGTATCGAAAGTACACAATAACGTAAACTGGCTTGAAGTCGTAAAATTATTTTATATCGTACAAGCCTATTAAAAACTACTTAGAAAATTTTTAAAATTAAAAATCATCAATAAAACATTTTCCCGTTTGAATTAAATTCGTTTATTTTTCATAATTCTAAGCCAGCGTTATACGCGTACCGGAAATTGTTCGAGTTGCGCAGTGGTAATAATTGTGAACTAGATCGGGCCTAGTTAAGTACCACCTGAGCCTCATGGCCAATGAGTTCCGCAAATATGAAAATCTGCATAACAGGAATGCTTGCATATTAATACTATTAATTACACAAATCTCCCCTTCCCGGCCAAGATCCAAATTACCTGCACTACTTGATATATTAAAATCACTACCCATGGAGTTTTGGTTCTTTACAGGAAGATAATTAAATATTTTCTTGCTATAAACAGTGGCCCCTTACCCCTAATGCTACAATTGGAACAAAGTTGAATTATCATATCCTGTCAGTCTATCCTTTGGATCAGCAATATTGTCCAACAGGCACAATGTTGTCATTCTTTGAACCACACTCAGTTTCTTGTGTCTTGTTTGAGCACATATTCCATAAATCATTCCTAGTTTGGGAAAAATAATCTTATATACCTTCCCTCCATTTTGAGACCTCTTTGCATCCAAATTATTAAACACTAATGGGAAATCTTCTAAAACTCCTGACAGATATTGTCCCAGGAAAAATAAGTTCTCCATTTTGTTCTTCATGAGGACACTCACGAATCCATTCATTTCTTTGTTGATAACCTTCAGTTTATTGGAAAATGTGTTCTGAGGTGCGCAGTTAAGAATTCCTCATAGTCAGGGTTCTAAAGTAAGGCACTTCTAATATGAGAAATATATATATACCTAGTGTTAATCAGTAGCGTCAAATAGTTTTTCTTCTTTGATCCAGGAGCATTGGCAACTTTTGGATATTCTTTGTCAGTTGCAGCAAATGGCAATAGTGTTGAGCTTTTTGATAACACTCGAGAGATTATTACGTCAGGCCAAGAATGTATCACTTATGAGAGTTTTGGCCTGACGTAATAATCTCTCTCGGGTGTTATCATAATAGGTAATATATTCTCTATGCACTCCCGTTGCGTTTACCTAAGGATTTTTCAACGCACTGACTGGGGTGCAGTTTCAGGATTGATTGTGGGATTCTTAAGAGATTCCGAGTCAGTCCGATAGCATGAACTAAGACAGAAATATATGTAGAGACAGTGTGAACCGAAATTTTAGGTTAAAATAAAATAAATATATTCTCTATGCACTCCCGTTGCGTTTACCTAAGGATTTTTCAACGCACTGACTGGGGTGCAGTTTCAGGATTGATTGTGGGATTCTTAAGAGATTCCGAGTCAGTCCGATAGCATGAACTAAGACAGAAATATATGTAGAGACAGTGTGAACCGAAATTTTAGGTTAAAATAAAATAAATACATGTTTTTAAACCCAGAAAGACCAGTGGGGGTACAATGTAAACAAACCGGAGTGGCATACCTTTCTCTCTTATAATGTATAGTGGGGTATTTTTGTGTAGAACGATTATTTTGGGGTTTTCACGATTTTTTCCTATGGTACACATGATGAATAAGTGTAATAAATATAATTTGTGAAAAAAATGTCCAACAAGCCCCGGGGTTGAATATTGGGGGGGGGGGGGGGGGGGTCGTGTCCACAAGTACCTGTGTATTCAAGCTAAAAGTCAATTTAAACAATACAGGTACGGACCTCCAAAAACATCAGAGGTGGGATCAGATGCAATGGAGGAGTGAGCATCCCCTGCCAACCAGTCATAATCGCCCTTTCCTCTGTGTCATGATCGAGAAAAGCGGAAAAATTAGTAGACAATTCAGTGTGTAAATAATGGCCTAACAATTAGTATAAAAAATATTAGTCAGCATTTAACCAAATGATAGTTTGTATTTGCTTACAAGGTCAAGTTCGCATTTAACTCAATGATAGGTTGTATTTGCTTACAAGGTCATCGACCATAAAACTTGCGAAATGATGACTTCAATATTGGGACTGTTGATATTCCTGTTTCATCAACTTATTTGTCAATAGCTCGCCTCGTTTTAGACATTGTTTATACGTAGACCATGCTCTTGCGTATCGAATCAACTGAGATACAAACACCTCATACAGTGCTGCTATCCTACAAGTTGACATGGGATGGGTTTGGATAGGATGCAGGATTGAGGATTCACGATAGAAACATATAGTAGTTAATCCAATCCTATCCCATCCTATATCCTACAGCCAATCAGATTCGAGTACGGGTTGATTCATACTTCAGAATTAATTGACAAAACGGAATAGTTTTGAAAACCTTTACAAAAGAAATATTTATAAAATTACAAATGAAAATAAACATTTTTGTTTTAATTTTAACAGACATTTTTTTTTTAAACTCGAGTAACATAACGTACGATATAACCGTGCACGATGACCGGAAGAATCTTCGCATGTAAACAACGAAGAGTTTGAACGTCAATAGACCTAATTTTCTTCAGCATGTTTGGATTATTCAGCCAGTTTCTGCTTGTGTTATAGTTCAGTGACATCTTTCTGAGTTAAGAGTTCTTTGTTTGTCTGGATAATCCTATGTTTGCCTGTACTCGAACCGTCAACGGTGGACATCGCAGTCAGGTATACATGTAAGTACACTACGCACTTTACATGCCTTGTATGCATGTTTATACTTCCCCTTTAAACTATGTCCTAATAGTTGAACAACATTTTATTCTATTGTAATAAACTTATAGACAAAAAGCAGGTGTTAAAAAAAGAGGTAGAGTGTATGTGTGGGGAGGAGGGGGGTAAACATTTACAAATTATATTCTGTCACATGATTCAATGTGTCCTAAAACAGTAAGATGTATTATCCTTTTTTCAGTTTGTAACTTTTATATCATTTACTCAGGGATCGACATTAACGGTTGTCTGATTGCCCGGGACAAGTAAATTCTCAGTTCGGGCAAGTGAATCCTACGACGTACTTGTCCGATCGGGCAAGTGAATATTTCTCATAGAAATGTACATATTTATTTAGTTTACATTAATTTGTATTTAAAAACCCCAATAAATTGAAGACTTGATTTCCGCCAGGTACCTGACATTGTTTTTGCATTCGGAATTCCTTGTCAGCATTTCTGGATTATACTTTTCATTTGAAAATCCGGTTCGTTATTCCGTTTTTTCCCTGGTAAATATGCTGTTCGTCTAACATCTCTGGAAATTTGGATAGTAGATTATTTATTCACTCACAGAATATAAGTACAGAGTAACACGATGTATCCTGATCATTAAGGTAAAGATCGATGTATGTTACGTAGCAACTATCTTCCTTCAGCGTTGTTTCACAGTTATCTCAGAAAATCACGATTCACAAAAGAATCCTACCGAAAATAAGTTTAAAAATATGAATTTTATAAAACGGAGCGTTATTGCTATATATGGCAGTGTGTGTTAAACCAAATACACATTTTTTCTTGTCGTAACATTTACAGTAATAAAAATTTATTCTGAATTTTTTCCTTATTTTGGGCAACCAAGTTTTGCATTCGGACAAGTCAAAGTTTGAGATCACTTGCCCGAAGGGCAAGTAAATCTAAAAGTTAATGTCTATCCCTGTTACTTACTATGAATTTAAAACATTTTTAATGTTTTTATTTGAGTGCAATTATAATAATTCATATTCAGTTCTTACATGTCTTATGCTACTGTTTAAATGGTATTAAAAGTAACACCATGTACATGTGTAATGGTTTGGGCCATGGATATCAGTCTTGGTAGCTTAGTCAGTAGAACACCTGACTAGTGATGCAGGGGTCCCAGGTTTATTTCCCGGTCAAGTCATACATTTTCTCCCTTCCTGTTACAGACATGGTGCCGTTGACCACCCCTGGACTTGCAGGTGAAAGTCCTGCCAGGGGCAATAAGAACTTGGGTTGTGTCTTCGAGAGCCAAGACAATTTAAGGAGGGAGGGATGTAATGGTTTGGGCTGTGGATATCGGCCTGGGTAGCTCAGTCAGTAGAGCACTTGACTAGTGATGCAGGGGTCCCGGGTTCGATTCCCGGTCCAGCCATACATTTTCTCTCTTCCTGTTACACATGTATATCCCGAGCACTTACTTTGTATATGTTTACATATGTATGACATATTCTGAGTAGTGAATTAATAAATAATCATTAATAATACTTCATTGCAGAGAAATGGTTCCTGACTTTGCCTGCCCATATAACAATAAACAAGATTCTACATTTTAAAAATATGACTAAGGTATGTTTAGATTATTTATGCATGGGTATCAGTAAAAAACATACAAAGCATTTTCTGAATTTAGATGAAGTTTTTCGCAGATTTTCCGAATAAGAGATTTTCTTCTGTTAAAAAAGTTGAGAGTAAAACTGGAAACAATGTGTAATTATTCATGTCATGTTACATGTATATTCATATTTATTGATATTCAAATTTTATGTGAAAAAGAAAATAAACAAACAAAAATAAATAAAAAAACAAAAACAGAAAATAAAGAAGAAAAGAAAACCCACAATACTTGTTAACAAGTTGTCGAGGTGAAACAAATACAATCTAGAAGTAAATTATGATTATTTAATTAAGATATGACTATGAAGTTGCAGTGTAAGATTTGATTTTGCTTGATTTCTTTGAATGCATTATTTTCGGAGAGAAAATAAGTGAAATCCAGCCAATTGTAGATGAAATGAGAAAGATAATCATTATAAAAATACAGTTTTTATGTATTAGTATATATGTAAAAATTGTACAATTTACATGCATATAATGTTTATTTTTCAGGACAATCCTGCATATTTGCAGTTTTACACATTGCAGTTCATCTCATCTGCTGCTGGAATAAATAATGAAAGCTGTTTATACCACTATCCAAGAGCCCCCTAGAGTCTGAAATCCTGGTGTTTTTTATTAAGGATATCAGTGTGTGAAGTATTTGTTTTTGTGCCTTGAGATTTGTGAAACTGTTCAGTAACTTGATGACTAGCTTTTTGACACCCCAGAAGTAAACAATAATTTGACATTTGAAATCGACTTGGATCGACAGACAAGCATGCCAAATGCTGTGCAGTTAAAACATTATGCAAATGATAAACTTGAACTTAAACAAACTACATGTACATGTATCACCTGTATCTATAGCTTGGCAATGAAATACATGTGTACTTTGATGAATTTGTCTCATAATGGCACATTAATTTATTGTACATCATGTACATGTGAATTGTATATGAGATTTACTTGGTCCAGGAAAAATATATATACTGAAAAAGCAATTACCTTGAATAAATATTGTGAACTTAATCATGCAATATGTGTGTTTATTCCTCATTTGGACCATGAATAACAATTAAGATCAAATGTCAAGGTCAGAAACAAGATTTACTTAAATAGGGGTTCTGAATAACTACTGTGGCTTCTAGTACATTGAATCTAAGGAAAATGTGTCTTTACTGCAATAATTATTGCTGTCTATCTATCTGATCTGACCGTGAAGATTTATGGAAATTTTTCTGTGAAGTTAAAACATAACTTGATTAAATTTTCACGCATTCAAATGGTAACTGAAATATGGCACTCAGACCAACTGTTCATCAACAATCTCCTGACAGCACTAGGACACTCAAAATATTTGGATGTCTGGATTCCAGTCATGGACTGGCCCCAGGACTAAAAACTGAGAACAAACTGAAGTGAAATTTAGAAATTTAACATGTTGAATAACTTGATTTTTATTTAACAAACATGTTAATTTAAAAGATGTTACATGTTTGTATGATATTCACAAACAAACACATGATGAAACTGAACATTTCATATAAGAATAACTTTAAAAAGAAATGAAAATGAAACAAAATTTTTATCATGCATTTTTAAATATATATTAAATATTACCATGATTATATAGACAATATTTTGAAATGTTTTATAAATAAAGGTCAAGATATTTCAAATCTAAAATTTGATTTGCCTGTTCTTAGTTTATGGTCTTGTCATATTTTCTTTTTTAGTTTTACATCAGTATGGATAAAATCCAGTACAGATGCATTTAGATCTTTATCATGATCTTTTTTTAATGGTTCTAAGTTTAGGGGAAAATAATTTTTTGTATAAATTTTACATGAAAGAACTTTATAAGATCATATAGCTGTTTAAACATCAAATACATCCGACTTTTTTCATCCTTTATTTATGTGTAGAAAAGTTGTATTTTTCTCGGGTTCGATTATTGTACAGTGCACCTGTGCCGCACGAAGGTTTTGACAATCGTAGTCTGATTCTTATAATGAGCTTATTAATAAATTTTGACTTGGATCGACCCCTATACTTAATTATAACATAAGAAACGTATCTGAAGTCTTCATTGTTACTTTTTTCTAATTTCAATCCCATTTATTTTTCGTAATGTATAAATTCGGAAAGAAGCAATATATACGTCTCTAGATCATTGTCAGTAGGTAAAACTATATTAAAAAAAGTCTGATTATATTTTTTCTATAATATATCTGAATACCGTCTTTCTTTACATATTCGTTAAATCAACATTTTCCTGTGCTTTTTAGAATCCTTTTGTTTACATTTGAACTGGATTCTCAAAAATTAATGCGTGCACGGGGTGTTGGGAATTAATGGATGTCGATCTCGATTTGTTTTCCTCCATCAAATCATAAACAAGGTACAAAACAATTACTGATTTTTAGTTGACGGTCATATTACTCTTTTTTTTCGTTTTGTCAAATTAACTCCTAAATATTGAAAAACTGCAAGTAGCAGGATAGGATAGGATAGGATTAGACTGAAATCACAGGATAGGATTATGGATGCAGGATTCACGATAGGATAGGATAGGATTGTCAACTTATAGGATAGCAGCACTGTATGCAGGCGATAAGGGTATATTGCGACATAAATAAGGGAAGTTGACGATTAAAAAATAGAAGTCAATACGTTTATCATTAAGCTTTGTTGTAAGGATACCATTATGTCTTTTTCTAGTAAAATATCTAAACAACAAACAGATATGTCAGACTCGGTGGTATCTTTTATTTAAAGCTCACTAGGATTATATAAATGGAAGTAACTATTGTTGATTGATAATACGTCGTCGATATATCTAAATTTCAAGTTGAAGGACACAGCAAGGGTTTTCTTCTTCTCATGTAGAAGTTTTTGAATAAATTTTGCTTCATATGAATACAAAAATAGGACTTATAAAAACGCGTCATATCGAAACCCCTAAGCACATTAAAGCTGATAGTGCTAAAATCACGGAACTTCAGCATGAAATTTCCTTATTCAAAATTCCTTACACTTATCTGAAAAATCTTTCAAAAATTTATGTATGTAGAAGCAAATGAGCCACCTCTGGACTTAAGAAGAATTAAACTTGCTTTACAATACATAATTAAATTAAATTCAAACACTAACAATCCTGCTTATGACTGCATTTTTCAACCACAAAATGCACATTTATATGGTAAAAACAAGAAATGCATAAAACCAATTTGTTTACGGTTTAAAAATTATATTAGAGATTCTGAACTACCATTAGATATAGTAAAAACTACTACTCTTTCTGAAGTACCACCGTGGAAATTAATTAAACCTGTAGTTAAAAATTCCCTATCCGAACTAAAGAAATCAGAAACAAATCCTCTCGTTTTTCAACAGAAATTAGCCGAAATAAAAAATGTAAACATCCTACAATACAAATTTACACAGATGGTTCAAAGGACATAGGCAGGATCAATTATAATGGGGGTATTTTTCTATACGACTTCCAAACGAAGCAACGATTTTTACATCTGAAGCAAAAGCTATACAACTAGCTTTTGAATATATAAAAACTCCTAGTGAAAACTCTTTTAACAATATTTTCAGACTCGCTGTCATGTTTACAGTCCATACACAATATGAACACTGATCATCCATACATTTGGGATATAATAAATAAGTTTTATCATCTCACTAAACCAGGTAAAAATGTCGAATTTTGTTGGATTCCAAGTCATATAGGTATTCCGGGTAATAACAAGGCTGATAGTTCTGCAAAAACTGCTCTTCAATATGAAATTGTACCTTTTAAAATTCCTTACACTGATCTTAAGCACTTAAGGTAGTCCTATCCTCAGGTTCTGAAATTCAGCTTTTAAGTAATTGAAAACGCTCACAAAAAGGTCTATGATTTCACATAGTAACGTGAATTTACCCATGGAATTTCTTCCAAGTTCTTCATTATAGTTTAATCATATTATACAGGAAAAATTATCAATTTCAAATATGATATCAGGAAATGCGAATAAAAACAACAGCTATGCATTTTTTAATTGAAAATTGATCAACAAATATAATTTAGGATAGAAAAATGTAGGTATCCAGGTATTTGGAGAAAATTGCATATTTTTTATGCTCATACAGTATTTAAGTTCTTCTTTTTACTTCAATTGTCATATAATACATAATGTAAAAAGCTTGTACTATCATTGCTAGACATCATATATGACATCTAATTTCATACCATGCTAATAAGCAGTGGTATCTAATGCTGGACTAAAGGAAAGTCGATTTCTCTAAAAATGAATTCATTTTTTTCTTTTATGGGGTACAAATGTTAACTTTTTACAAGACTGTTTCTAAGACTTCAAAGAACCTTGAATCATATTAGAGATTGTTCTATCTGACGTATCCGTATAAGTATTCGTATCCGTATACGTATCGAGCTCAGAGAGGCATCTCGATCCCGATGTCTAAACTATTTACTATAATTTCCATCGTAATTTGTTTGGTTTTAAAGCAGCCCCATTCATTTAAGAATAGCATATGGTATTTTTCTAATAAAAAAATGTATTAAGGTGCTGTAAAAGTTTGTTATTTCGCTGGAAAATTTTTAAAAAAATGGATAATTAAATTCAATAAATTTGTATTTGTTTTCATTATATTGTTTAAAACTTTAATTGCAATTTTGTTTAAAAACATTTATCGGGATCCCCCTCTCTCCCTCTTAACATCAGGACATTTTATTGATTGATTCTGTAATTTACATTAGATGACATAAAAGTTAACCCCCTCACTCACACACTGAATGCAAAAGAAGTTGATATCCACACAATCAATAAAACCGTTTAGCAATTTTCTAAAGAGAATCTGCTTCCAGACCCTTACCAGCATATGGTTAAAAAAACCAGCCTCCTCCTCCCCCCCCCCCCCCCCCCGAACATGCACACACAAACTTTCATATCGTCTGTTGACTTTCTTCATTCTTTTTTTTCAATGAACTAGTTGACAAATACCTGTATGTCTCCCCTTCCCCTCCCCAGTTGAAATTGCTACTTTCGGGTCTATTCTTGATTTTGTTTTATATTTTGTCCTTTCAGCAGTAATAACTTGAAAAGACTTCATGGCGACAAAAATAGGTAATGAAATGAAAATTCAATTGTTAAATTTGATTTTTCTTTTTAGTTCTCTTGTTGTCGTATATGTGTATTATAATTCATGGTTTGATATAGAACTAAAATAGGGTATTCATTATCTTAACTCTCTTTTTATAAGAAAGAAAAGAACATTAGACTAAATAATGCCAAAACAATAGATTTATCTATTTCTTCTATGCTACCTTGTCCATCCAGCTGATTTTTATTCATTTATATTTTTATATTTTTATTTATTTATTTATTCATTTGGGCCCAGATTGGGACAAGTGTGAGTCAATTCAACACGCAGTTCATAGAATTGAATAGAAGAGGCTGCTTCAACGTAGCAGAGAAATAAAAAAAAAACACACAGAATAAAGGATAAAATTTATACAAAACATTAAATTGATAAAATATCAACATTTTTTCAGAGTTTTTATCCCGCTTGTACACAAAGAATTACAGTCATCCTAATTTCAATAAATCATTTAAGTAAACTTTGGTCAACATGTATATAAAGTAATGTATAAGACATAAAAAAATTTCTCTGTTTATCTCCTTTTATCGACAATTGTTAATTCATCCCTGACAAAAACTGCGTGTAACTGCATCACTTTCGAAAATCGTAGTCCTTTCTCAAGCTCTCTGGAATTTCGGATACGACTATCACCTAACAATTTAGGTAGTTTAGAGTCTTCAAACCACCCCAGAATTGCCAGTTTTCCAAAGCTTTTCTGGAGAACTATGTCCATCAAATATAATCAAATGATATACAGAATGTTGATAATGATAAGAAAGAAAATGAGGATGGAAATTTTCAGTGAGCTCCCCCCCCCCCCCCCCCACACACACACATAGCACATAGAGTATGCAGTATGGTCACCTTTTTATTGT